CAGAGTCGTCGCTTAGGAGGACTATATCGTCTGCATATTCTAAGTCAACGAGATTATTCTCTGGTAGAAAGTCAATTCCTGAGTCGCTGAAGTCACTTAGGGTTAAGTGCATTAGTACATCTATGATGAAGTTAAGTAGAAAAGGGGATAATGGTCATACTTGATTATATCGGGTTTTACTTAGTCTGCCTTGAGACTGACTACAATCAATCATACGTCTTTTCGCTCTTCTCTCTGTCCAGAAAGCGAAGAATAATAATACTTCTGTCTTTCATTTTTGTTTCCTTTACTGCTATCCTCAGCTCAATTGGGCTGAGTGATCAGCTCAAAAACCCAAGCCTTCAGAACTCCAAAAGTTTTTTTTTTAACAGCAGTTAATAAACATGTATGTGTACACACCCTGAGTGTGTGTCAACCATATCTCTACGTTCCAAAAGAGATTCTGGAACATAAACATATTCACTAGTGCCTAAAACTTGCCATATTTTCTTGACTTGAAGACGGAATTCTACTCCGTCTAACCAGAGGTGCTGTGGCCGTGTGGCCGTGAAAGGAGTGCTGAGAATGCTTGTGACACTAATTGAGACATTAATGGAACTCACTCAGCCATGTAAGAACTTAGGGAATCTTTTAGTCAAAAATTATGCCAGCCAGTGATATCCGTCAGGGATGCCCAATGTCTCTAGTGTAGTTTAACTAACTAATGAATGTGACCTTAATCGGTTTTAGTGACTTGGGGACTAGGATTTTATCAGAGTATGCAGAGTATATTGTTCATCTAGGACACTAATAAAATGCAGTCTTCTGAACACCTTAAGCAGAAATCTAGTGTCTGACATGAATTTTTTTTAATTTTATTTTTGATTACAGCTTGATTCCACACTGTATTTTTGGTACAAGTATGGAATTTTCAGCATGGATATCGGTAGCCCAAATTTTGCAGGCCGACTATAGATATCATGTGTGTGTCAGTGGCAGGGGATTGAACCTCGGACCATGTGCATGGTCGGCGAGAGTCCTAACCACTGTGCCACCGAGGCATGAAGTTCGCTCCTGTCAAATGTAATATGATGTTGCAGGACTGTGGTCTGTACTGACTCCTGGCATGCAGATTGTGAGTGAAATAGTTGAGTGTGTTGACCACTGCATCTATTTGGGAAGTATCAGCCCTAGTAGACTAGTTGCTGACGTAATTTCAGCACTGTTACAAAAGATTCGTGTTGAATTTGCTTACTTGCGTCGTCTCTGGTGTAAACGGCAATCGTTAGCTGACATAGGCTCAATAATAGTCAAGAGTTGAGGGTGGTCAAATCAAAGTCAGCCTGACTGTCGGTTTAAACCAGCCTCGTAAGTGGGGTATAGATCGTCTGACTGAGGTTCTAAGGATTTTAAGAACCAATGGCTGGATATTGTTGGTAAAATTGCCTGAAAATCGTTGTCCTTGGTTGCAGATGCATTCACACTTTTGTGAAAAGTTGCAAAAGTTGAAAACTCACCCAGTCAGACATACTCAGCTAGGATTCACTTTTGATGTGCTTTTATCCCCTCACCCCGCCCCCCCCGAAAAAATATTGTTCACTCCTTTGCCTCTTGGTCATCCTTCTTCAGAGATTAATTTCTTGCCAGATTAGATCTTTCTACTTTATGCTAGTCTAGTGCAACTATCTTTCCATCAATCTACATTTGTAGTTTCAAAACAACCCTCAAAGTTTGTGTTTCTGTATATTTTGTTTGGGATTAAGTGTGAGACGTTTTGGTCAGTGGTTCATTTGTAACAATTTAACCAGGATTCATTTCATCACATGTTGTTACATGTCTGTTGACTATTTTCAATCAATATTTCTAGTGGAAGTTTAGTTCATAACTATGGTGGACAGGATATTATATTAACCTTAAATAGTTCTATTACCAACAACAGCACTCACAGAAAACTGCAAGTGGACAACAATCCTCCAAGAAAAGCGGATATCTTGAATGCAATCAAGCTACTGTAAGCCAGCCGGGAAAGACAACAGGACCAGACCGAATTCCCACGAAGCAATGAAAACGTCTTCTAAGCATATAGCTCCAACCCTGTGGCTGAGAGGGTCCTTACTAGATTTCTTTCATACTGGAGAGGAACGGAGCTATGAAAAAAAAAATATATATGTTGTCCATGTGCTTTTCCTATGCAAATTTATCTTTATACTACCATTTGGCTTTCTTGTAAGGAGCACATCTAGGAAGGCAGTTTTATTTTTTGGATTCCTCTTCACACGTGAATTTGATAGTGAAGTGTACTTTATTGAATCGAGTTATTATTGTATTCCCGTAGGAATGATTATCACAAAGACTAAAGGTGTCATCCATATACCGGCAATAAAATGCGAATTTTCTGATAAGGTTGTTGAAAAGGTTCATTTTCTAGTTTACTTAGAAAGAAATCTGCCCAAAATGGGACCCAATGGGAGCCCATCACCATGCCGTACACTTGTCTGTAAAGTGTGCCATCAAATTTGAAATTTACATTCACCGTACACCTTAATATAACAATTCTTTTAGGATTTGCGTTTGGATGGCGATATTTATCGACTGGTTATACATTTGGTCACATATATAGTTAACTGTTTCTACTGTGATGAGAACAGGCTGCTAGCCAATTTGGTAGACATTAATTTACGTCAATGTCTATGTCACTAATATTGGCCGTGAGAAAATATGAACAAGACTGATTCAACAACCAATCACAGCAGATTTAACGTAGGCAAATACGATTCGCAGATATATGGCTTAACTTTCTGAGAAACCAGTCACAAACAGTACAAAATAACCTTGAGCAAGAAACAACCAATCAGAAGACTGTGTTTGTCTGTTTGAATAAGCTATAATAATGTACATGAAATATATATATATATAAACACGTGCTGATTTCCTTAATAAACGGTCTGTTGCTTGGCCCTTGTCCTCTGTTGTTACACTACTAGAGGTACATTCGTGAATACAGATGTTTTTTCCAAAGATATCACAGTTTTCTCCTTGATATTAATATCTTTAGTGTTGTTTACGAACTCAAATACACCTTTGACGCTATGTTTCGCTATCTGCTCATACGAAGGTTTGAGAATGTTCACTAACCATCTAGCTAGAGCGTGGTGGGGCGAATTTCGCGTACCAAGTATTTTTCTAAAAGGTACCCCCCAGGTTTATGTACTTTAGGTAGGCCATACAGTCTTGGCGTTTAGGAGGTGCCCATTGGCCTGATTTATTCTCATATAAACTTTCAGGAACTATCTATTCCTCCCTTAGTTTCTTCTTCAAACATGTAGGGTTAATTCGTTCTCTATTTTTTATTATTGAAATCTTTCTCAAGTTTTTTGAAACTTCTGTGTATCTTTCAGTTTATCATTCATCTTTTTTTTTAAAAAAAAACAATCACTTTTATCGACGAGTACTACTCCTGACCCTTTATCAGGCTTTGTGATTATCAGTCTTGCGTCATTCATCAATATCCTTTAGTTCTTCTCTCTACTCCTTTGTCCGTCAAGGATGCCCATTATCCCCTTTTCTATTCAACTTCATCATTGATGTGTTAATGGACTTAACCCTAACTGACTTCAGCGACTCAGGGATTGACTTGCTACCACCAGGGAATAATCTCGTTGACTTAGAATATGCAGACGATATAGTCCTACTAGGCGAAGACGCTGACAAAATGCAGAGTCTTCTAAACACCTTGAACTGCAATCTACGAATGTTTGGCATGCGAGCGATTCGACCCCCGCCAAATGCAAGGTGATGTTACAGGACTGACTGGACTACATCGACGCCTGGTTTAAAAATAGAAAGTGAAGTGGTTGGTGGAGCACGTTGACCGCTTCACTTATTTGGGAAGTACCATCAGCCAGTGCCAACGGGTTGATCTCTGACGAAATCTCAGCACGGATACAGGGGGCTCGTTTCGCATTTGACAGTTTACGCCGACTCTGGCGTAGACGAGATGTTCGACTATCGACCAAAGGGCGGGTGTACTGCTCATCAGTCCACTCTATCCTTCTTTATGGCTGTGAGACCTGGTCACTGAGAGTGGAAGACATGAAAGGACTAGCTGTCTTTGATGATAGGTGCTTACGTTCTATCTCCCGTGTGAAGTGGAATAACAAGGTGAGCAATACTGAGGTTGGGCGTCGAGTTCTAGGTAAGGAGGAGGAGTTAATCGACGAGGCTGTGAAATTACATCGACTGAGATGGTTAGGACATGTGTTACGCATCCCTGACTAGTCATCGCCTTCCTCGACGAGCAATGTTAGCGGATATAGGGTCAGGCTGGAAAAAAGCTAGCGGCGGTCAAACAAAAACATGGCCTCACCAGTCAATGAAATCCACATCAGTTAGTCTAAGCCAGTTACGTAGGAAGGTGTAGACTGGCTTCCTGGTTGGGGTCCTCGGGACGGTAAAACTCTGTGGTTGGAAACAATTGGTGTCATGGCTCAAAATCGTTCTCAATGGCTGACTGGCTGGTGCAGATGCATCCACTCCTTGTGACTTATGATCTCCAATGAGACTGTTTTGTCCTTCGTTACTACTATTTCCTTTGTCTCACACCTCTGCTCACAGTCTCTATTATGCTTTTCTTGTACTTTCTTCTGTTGCTTCGCGTGCTACAAGGAGGGAGTGTGGCGACTTGAACTTCTGCACATTTGTGGAAAGTTCTATGTCGAAAACAGACAGACAGACTCCTTTGTCAAGAAACTGTTACTGTCGTATTTGATGTGTGTGTGTGTGTGTTTTATGCTGATAGCCAACAGTTCACTAGACTGAATTAATTTTTTTTAAGTGTTCTAGTTCTAGAATGAGATGATGATATTGAATTTAAAAACCTGTTTAGTCAAACAAAAGAGATATAGTTCCATCATCTATCCAGGCTGAAACTTTAATGTTGTGCCTAAGAATGTTTCTGGTTAACCAGTCGTTTTTTTTCATGTATTCGTGTGTTGATTTATTTTATTCATAAATTTTTTTAGGTTTGTTAACTAACTAAAATATGGAGTAATTTAGTTAGCTGATTTGTCAAATGCCTTTATCATTACTACCGCCAGTGTATCCTCCAAATTTAAAAAATCAAACCCACCAACTTGATAATGAATCAACTGAAAGAGTCAGCAGTGCTGCCAGTGAAGCTGCTCTACATCGGCGGAGGTTAAATGAATTACGACAATCATTTTTAGGATTGCCTACTTCAGCAGCAGCAGACGACAAAGATGACCGCTTTTCACACAGTCAGACTACAGTTTCTACATGTGTAAATTTAAATATGAATGATAGCCAGACAGTGTACACTAAGCCTGTCTGTTGTACTACTTCAAGGTGTGGTGTTCTTAATCCAACAAGGTTTAATAGTTACAAACCTTCACTTTCTCATAGTACACCTGATATTGGTCATTTGTCTTTCAATAAATGTGTAAATAAAAATCGTATAATTAATCAAAAACAATCTATATTAAGCATTGATCCTACTATTTCATGCGATCAATTGGATGCAACTGATCAACTTCCAAGTCCTGAATACTTTTCTTTTGTTTATTCATCAAATCCTTCTGTATCTTGTACTGCTGAACACCATTCCACTGAGTCGTCATTATCAGGAACGCTTATAGCTAAGTCAAATTTAATTGTCAATAAAAGTAACTTGTATCCTTTAACTCCGGAGACAGTTCATTTATCATCAGAAGAGTGTGCAGAAAGTTCGTCTTCTTCATCATCGTCATCATCATCAAATGCTGAAAGTTTTCATGAATATGTTGTCTCTGATAATGATGATGCTGATGGTGATAATATCAACTCACCCAAGTCTAGTATCAATATTATTAGTAGTTTAACAGATGTAAAATGGTTATCTGAACAATGTAGAAAGAATGACATCTATCCGCATCAATTTCTCACTAAAAATGTGAAACTTGATAATAACTCTTATAGTAAAAAACACACTCCTAGGCTGTTTCACTCAAAAACTGATTCCATCACCACCACCACCACCACCACTCCTTTCCATGAGACATTTTCATCATCTAAAGATAGTAATATGTCTGACCAGGTTAACAATTACAGTCAGATGAATAACCAATCAGATGTTTTGTGTAAACAAAAGAAGAAGAAAATTTGCTTTATGTTCACAGAGAATGAAATACAAACCTATAATTGTCAACATCAGAAAAAAAAGTGTCCACCTGTTATGCCAGTCAGTCTTAGCTTTAGCACAACAACAAACTCATCACACAACAATGATGATGACGATGATGAATCACAGGTTCATTCACCAACAAAGTCTATGATTGGTCGGTGTTTTTCAATCTCACCCAATCATCGATTGTCAAACTCTCATATTAGTTTGAATAATAATACAAAGGTCATTGTTCCAATTCCAATGAATGCAAATCAATTAGAGTGTACAATGAATGATAATTCTGCAATGCCTAGAAATAAATCTCGGCATAATATTAGTAATAATAATAATAATATCAATCATCATCAATTCATTAATCATAATCATGATCATAGATCACACGAACATTCTGTGAAAAAGAAAATAACTTCTGAAACACTTTCCGGTAGTGATATACAAGATATGTATTTACATTCTTACAAAACTGGCAGTAAAAGTCATAAACAAAGAAACGAAAAGAATAAGGATAGAGAAAAGAGAACAAAAAATGACCAACTGTTTGTTGACTGTGCCCTAGAGCATCAAGACAACACCTCAGCAAAATATGATTCAACCTCAGAGTTAACTGATGACTGTGACAAGGTTTTTAGTCAGTCTTCTGCTTATGAACAACCTTCACTATGGTATAAAGAGGTGAAAAACTATTCACAAAACAATACTTTACATGATATTTCACATCAAAGTAAGCAGTTGCTCTCTCATATACACTCTTTACGATGTACAGATGAAGAAGATGCTATGTCCTATGAAACTAGTCTATCATCATTGCCATCCTCAGCATGGTCATCTCTTTGTCCAGGTGACACCTCATTGATCTCTACTGTTTCTCATAATCGCTTAAAAGTGCCTCTACCTGGTCTTGTGACTGCAGTTGATAATTACTCCACTGAATATTCTGTACGTGAGTCAACACCGCGTCACTCAAACAAAAACAATCGAAACTTTGAATCACAAAATTCAAATTACAGAAGTAGTAAACACCTGAATAGGCGATCGAATTCTGGATTCAGTAATGATAGTAGAAATACTACATTAGAGATATCTGGAAGTTCATCTTACCAGTCATTTTCACCACCATATGTCAATGTAATTCCACCTGCTCGATCATCTGATTTATCATCCGGTTTCCCATCTTCAGAAAATTTGTCCGTTAACCGAAATATTGTAAGTTGTTAAAGTAGATTATTATTTACAAGAAATGGTTTAAAAGTTAACGTGAAATTCTTTAATTTTACTTAATGTTGTATTATTATTATTATTGTTCCCTTGGGTTCCTAGTGGAATATAGGGCTTCAACTGCACGTCTCCACTTGCCACTTCTGTCTTCCTTCTGTTGTACTTTTCACCTGCGTCATACATGTTAGTCCATACTGTTTCAACTCCTCCATGTCACCCTCGTACTCACGACCCACTCGCTGCTTCCCTTTCGGCCTGGTTCCACTCGCGCAATGGCCTGAGGCGCGCGCTATGTCACCCAGCGGCGGCCTCCTCAGCGAGTGTCCAATCCATCTCAATCCACTTTTTCCTGCATATATTTGTTGTTGTTATTGGGCGATTGGTTCTTGTTTTGTTTGTTTGTTCCCATAGTTTCTTGTTGGTGATCTTTTCCGGCCCGGCCATCTAATCTTTACTATAGAGCAAAGACAATTGTTGATGAAGGTCTGCAACAGGCTGTTGGAAATATGCTTTGTAACCCGCCAAGTTTGTGATCCGTTCCGTATAGAAGAACTGACTGACTTGACGTTTGTATTGAAAATCCGAATATTGTTGTTGAGGTTGAGTGACGAAGATTTCCAGATTGGTTTCAGGTTGATGAATGTGTTTCTCGCCCCCCACACGATTCTTGCTCGATTTGACATCCTCGTCCGTTCCGACTTCCTGTAGTTAAGACAATGCTCCCTACATCAGTGAGTGAATGAAGTAACCTCTTTCAAATTCCACCCGTTGACGGGGATTGGCGCTGGATGTTGCTGCTGTTGTTGTTGGCTGGTTATTTTCATCACCTCCGTCTTGTCTATGTTCACATAGAGTCCTGTCTTCGCCGACTGCTTCTTCAATCAGTTTGTCGGTTTTCGCTTATAAGTCTTCGATTGTGTGTGACATCAAACATAAATCATCCACGCGCGAAATCCAGGTCTTCTAGGTTCTTCACGTCGGTCGGTCCAGGATATCCCTGTCTTCTCGTTGCCTATTATCTGACGCATAATCCAGTTAGTCCACCACAATTAGGAATATCATTCATTGGTGATAATAAGCAAGCACCCTTATCTGACTCCTGTGTTTACTCGAAACGCCTCACTGAGTTTTCCATTGTAGATCACTTTATTAAAAATACTTAATGTTGTAGGTAGTGGAACTTAATTCTAATTTTTAAAAAAACAAACAAACTATTGTACATGTTTCCCTGTAAATCTAACTCTTAATTCGGAAAAAAAGTAATTGATGAAAAAGTGTACCATCTTACTTACTTTACTTCGGCTATCTCCTACGGGAGGATGAGCCGGCTTCGTGAACATCTCGAATCATCGCTGACTTTCAATATATCGTTTTAAGTTGAACTAAGTCTATATTTTCTCTCACCCCCTAACTCTTTGTTATATATATATATATATATATATATATATATATATATATATATATATGCTGAGTGGATTTTGTAAATTCCGGTTTAATAATACTACTTTGAGAAAGCTATTAGCAGCAGCATTGAATAGCGAAACGTCGTCAGTAAACACAACGGCAGTATCGTTTTGTTTTTCATTCATTCATTGGGAAATACAAGGAAACCTCTATTATAATGAAAAAGAAATCTTTGTGAAACACTTCAAGCAGAGAGGAGGAATATACACCGAAGTAAACACAAATAATTTCATCGAATCACACATTGAATACACTTGACCAATCGATTTTTTTTATAGACATTTGATGAAGACTAGAATAAAAATTATTTTGGGGTTATTGTTTGTTTACGTCATCAAAATATTTGAAAAAAAAAGTGTGATAAAAAATCTAATTGTAACTAGTTTGATGGGGAAGCGGGTTAAGATTAGTAAGAGGCTACTGGTGGTGTTCATTTGTCAAAAAACACAGGTTTTAATTTAAAGCAATACGAAGACGTCGGTGGCATAGCGGTTAGGACGCTCGCCGACCATGCACATGGTCCGGGGTTCGATCCCCGGCCGGCGCACTCCTTTACCTCGCTAAGCCAGTAGTGAAATTGGTGAAGAGGAAATGTTTGGCATGAGGCTAGCAATCCCATCCTGTAAAAAGTAATCACCACTGCTACAGAAACTTCAAGCATCTAGCTTGATGAAGCCCTATGTTCCACTGGGAACGTGCAGGAAAACGAAAAAAAAATACGAAGACGTAATTTGTCTGCCTGAATCGCGTGTGTAATGTGTGATTGCGCAACACACATTTCGAACAATCTGATCCATCACACACACGAACTTGTCATAGGAATATATATGAAATTAATAAAGAGGTAACAGGTGAGAAAATGGAATCTTCAGAACCTATTAACGGTGAGAACAGGAGACCTAACTCTTCTATTGTGAAACATATTATAGAGACAGGGCATAAAATTGATGTTAACAGATCTTTTAAACCTATCTACAAAACGTGTTTGGGGAAGGGCGTATCCTAAAGTTTGTGGAAGCCCTAGGAATTAGAAAGTTCAAACCACCTTTATGCATTCAAAAACAATTCGTCATCACATTAAACCTTCCTTGGTAAATTTTGTTTTGATACATCAGCCAGGCCAGATGTACTATTTATTACCTCTGATATTTGGTTTAGTGGTCTTCATTTTTATTTTTGACCTTGAATCTGTCCTTTTAACTTGACCTAAGTAGTCTATTTTTCTCACCTCTTACTTCTTTATTAATTTCATACATATATTCCTATAACAAGTCCGTGTGTGATGGATCAGATTGTTCGAAATGTGTGTTGCACAATCACACATTACACACGTGATTCAGGCAGACAAATTACGTCTTCTTATTGCTTTATCTAAACTAACTAATTGTTATTCTTGTCTGGCAAACCTAATGTACACACACACACAAATAATTATATATAATTGTGATTGTATAGCCAAGGGAATGAATTCACCGAAAAGAGTCTCTTCACTGAACTACATGTATTGATTCAATCAATGTCTGGATGAGTATTATTGTTGAATTCTTTGAGGAGTGCACCACAGTGATATTTAAGTAATAATCGAGTTACTGGTTGGCATATATATATATAACTCGATTTCTAGTGTTTTAAATGGCTTTTTGGGTGAATTTCATTTTCGCTTAGTTTCGTTTTTAAAAAGTAATTACAACTAGCTTGCTAGTATTTTCGATTGATTCAATTGAGGATGCATTTGGTGCTGCTATTCACTGTGTTAAGATAAGACAATAGCTTTATTCCAAAAATAGTACTTGTGATACAGAATGGAATTCTCAGCATTTTACTACAATTTATTGCATCCAGTTAGTACATTAACAATAAATAAAGTTCTACATAGATTAAAGTTATCTCAGTCAGTTTTGACAACAACATATTAGCATGTCGGTAGCAAAGCCAAAATTTAAACAGTGTTTGAAGGTGTTAGAAAAGTAGATACTACTAGCATATTTACTGGCGTAAGCGATAGCAAAATGGTTGAGATATACAGAGTGTGAAAGAACGAACAAAAATGTTTTAAGTAGAGTTTGTAAGGAAGAGAGAAACAAAACGGCATATAACAAAAATAAATACAGAAAGAAAAAAAAGGTAGAGAGAAAAACGTTGTACCTGTAAATGATGTGAGTTGGAAAGACGAGATCCATTTGTTCTACTGACTATTTAATAAGTTAAAGGTTTCACGCCTAATGCTTTCTTCTTTATCGCACAGAACACGAGCTAAGTAGGTAGGGTATAGTTGAGTTTTTGTACTTACTAGTGCGGGCATAAAGTTTCCTATATAGGCTTCTGGTTTTCCCTGAAGAGATACAAGGGGAGAGTTGTGAATGTAGAGGGTGTTGTGAGTCAGATAAAATGGATTTTGCCCATTTTTCACATGAGTCCATGTGCCTGTCCACCAGAATATTAACAAATCAAATCGTTATTTTCGTCACTATTAAGTCTGTTAATTCTTCCAGTGAGTAGTAGTAGTGATGAGGGGTAGGGTAAAAGTTTTTGAGAGGTGTTCATGTTGTTTTGTTGTTTTTTTTTGTTTATTTTTGCAATTGATCTCCCTTATACACAAAATATCTCTTTAGTGCAAAATCAGCAAACGAGCATCACGACCATCATCAGACCATTCTGGAGCTTATCAACGGATACGCAGTATGGAGGCGAGAAGTTTGCATAAAGATGCCTTACGACACAATTCCACATCTACAACCAACAAAGGATCAACACGTACATTTAATCCAATTCAACTGTCTAAAGGCTCTTCTGTTGTTAGTCAACGTATTATTCTCTCTGAGTCGTCATCATCAACCCTATCTGTAAATAATCCAGATGATATTAATGCTCATAATACTCATAAAAATCAATCTGAAAATTATTGTATTGCTCAATCCGATAATCATACACAAGACTATGATTATCTGCCGCCTAGAAAAGGTCGGAAGATTTTCACACTGGCTGCAAAAATATCTCATTACCTCGAGAATGGTAGAGAAGTTGAAGTAAGAAGATTTTTGAACAAAATGCTACGTAAACCTGAGACAAGACGTGTTGTGGATGAATTAATTCAGTATTGTGGAAATAATCTTCAACGCCTACTCGATCCTAATGTTGTAGGTCACTGTTATGCTTAATATTATTGTTCATTATTATTATTATTAAGCATTCAGTTTCTTTGAAATGACCACTTTTTTTAATACTTGGGAATAACAACTTGGACTACAATATTGAACACATGCTTTAAGATATTTGAGCTGATAAAGAAGATTTATTAGCCTAGGTAGGTTCTAGAAGGATAATGATGACAGCTTCTCAGTTAGACTGCGGATGCCCGGCGCTCTTCACCGGATTGACTGTCCATTGGATGCCAGTCTAGAGGAGATGGCTAAACCCTGATTCCAAACCACCAACGACTGGCGTATGAAGCTCACTGGAGGTCACCGGTAGGCAGACGTATGGACAAAGGGCTTATTGGATGACCCTGGTGCATGTCTGGCCCCATTGAAAAAGGCGTATGAACCGGACTCCAGTGACCGGCTGGCTAACAATGGATAGTCGACTCCCTACGCTACTCCACTCCTACTGCCTTGTAGGAGGTCACACTTGGTTGTGCGTTTGTCTACTTGACTAGGCTATAATAATGTATGTGAAATTTATATATAAATACATGTTGATTTCCGTAATAAAACGATCTGTTGCCTGGCCCTTGTCTTCTGTTGTTACAAGGTGAATAAAGCAGCATTTTCGGATGTATACCAATTTCAGTATATAACTTCTACATCTTTTCTCGTTGTTTGTATGCTTATTTGGACTGTAAAAGCCTCATCCTATTCACCCTCATACAGGATTCTAGGATGATATTCTATGAGTTCAGAAAGAGAAGAGTTTATTTGAATGAATGTTTATTATTTTAATCGTGATATTGGTGACAAGCACTTTTTTCCTCTTCTCTTAAATACTAAATGAGAAGCTAATTCTTTCCTTTCTCTGTTTTTAATCTCTCCACGTATTCTAGCATTCGATTACACCTCAGAACTTTCAAAACAATTCAACTTCTTCTTTGTTACACCTTGCGGCTTCACTTTCTGACTTAAGAACATCCTATATGCCAGGTTTCGGTACACTTAGAAATCGACGTGGTAGTTGTGGTGGTAGTAGTAGTGTACTTTCGAATCCTTGGAATTTCACATCCTACAATCGATCATGGATTCCTGCTGCAGCACACAACTGGTCTACACTTGATCATTCGTATAAATTATCATCATTTCAGGGGAAAAGTATTTCTTCGTTAAATTCGTCAACAAATACTATTCGTCGTTTTATAAAGTGGCCTTCTGATGGATATATTGAAAGAAAACCGCCTATATTACCTCCTCCACCTCCACCTGTTCCTCCGGTTTTACTTAAAACAACAATTTTACCATGCGATCAAAGAATTCATATTGTAGATACGCATGCTCTTGAGGTAAGTTATCTCTCTTTTTTTTGGTTGGATTTATACTGTCTTTTTATAAATTGTAAAACTGTCATTTTTAACATTTTGTATATTCCCCACCTTGAAATGCTCTATACACACTTTATAAGTGGTTGTCTTAAAGAGACCACTACCCCGAGTTATCTATCAACTTGAAGTCTGATCTAAAAGGTAGTGGGAGATGTGTTGCTTTGGTTTCTGCTGACTACTCGAATTCTTGAGCCCCATGTATAGCATGGATTTGGAATCAAGGTCTTCTAGCTCCCATAGGTGTAGAGACCTGCGCATACCTACCAGTCGAGTTGTAAGTACAAGACGTTTTCATTCACCCCTTCTCTTTGGTAAAGAGTATGCTTGACGCCGAAGATAGTCAAGCATGGACTTACGTCGTAGAGAGGCTATGAACGCTTGACAGCAAGAAAGTGTTTCAAGAGGGAAGATCGAGGTCTATCATCTGTCGGTTGTTGTATCAGGTCGTTTGTGGGGAAGGGCCTCCAAAGCCTCAGGTTGGTCGGGGGAGGGTGCCTTGCGCTGCGCGTTGGACACCCCTCCGTACACCTCTTGAAATGCTCCCATATGACAAAGCGTCTTACACAGCCTCTCCTGAGGAAGTTCTACTCACTGCCTTCACGTGGCGGAGGTGTTTCTTACTCACTGAAGTGACAGGGCAAAAGCGGAGGCCCGGCGCTCTTCACCGCGTTGACTGTTCATTGGATGACAGTCTAGGGGAAATGGCTAAACCCTGCCTGATTCCAAACCTCCAACGACTGGCGTATGAAGCTCACTGGAGGTCACCGGTAGGCAGACGTATGGACAAAGGGCTTATTGGATGACCCTGGTGCATGTCTGGCTCCATTGAAAAAGGCGTATGAACCGGACTCCAGTGACCGGCTGGCTGACAATGGATAGTCGACTCCCTACGCTACTCCACTCCTACTGCCTTCTAAGAGGTCACACTTGGTTGGTTGTGTAAAGGCTAGAGCTGAACTCTCAAACAAAACAAAAGGCCGAGCGATTCTGGGGACACATCACTCGTACCTAATTCCCATGAAACTTTATGAACTCTCTTACAAACAACTATCGCCGCGCCTGGTCAGCGATGATTCGAGATGTTCATGAAGCCGGCTCATCCTCCCGGAGGAGATAGCCGAAGTAAAGTAAAGTAAGTTTGTGGGGGAGCTTAGCTCATACATAACGCGAAGTCATTTCATCTATTGTGAATGTTAAAGTTCACTTATTTTTCTTTACTCTAAACACAACCCTTAGCATAAACAAAAAGGTTTCCTCGCATTGTTTTTAAATAGAATTATGTGTAGTAAAAAAATATCTCTTACGATATGCTACTATCCTTATTTTCTTTACTGTTTCTTCTCTTAATATAAATGAGAAGTTTTCCAATGACATAGAAAGAGCCAACTTGAAATCTGAAGGTGTTAATATTTGGTCTAGTAGATTTATGATAAAACTAAAACTAAAGACTGGAGAACAAAAAAAACGGTAACGTGATTAGAACTTGATCCCTGGTATCTCTACAATATGCGCTTCACCTATGCGCTTAAATGGATAAACTGAACTTTAATCTACTCCACTTTGTCAGTTCAAATAGGCTTAGTGTGATGGGGGAGTGTTTAGGTAGGTAAAGGGAAAAAAAGGAGACTTATCAATAAGGCAGAAAATTTTTCACAGAAAGCAAACAGTAGTCACGCGCTAGTTCGATCTATTCACACAGAAAACCAGGGAAAATCAGTGTCTTATGTTCACTAGCGATTGACTGCATACAGAAAGTTAACTAGAGTTTCAGTAAGAAGTTGTGGCTAGCGGAGTACAGCAAGTTAGGTGAGAGAACAATTACTCGTCGATGACATTGACTAGTTATTATTATTAGTATTATTATTATTGTTCCCTTGGGTTCCTAGTGGAATATAGGGCTTCAACTGCACGTCTCCACTTGCCACTTCTGTCTTCCTTCTGTTGTACTTTTCACCTGCGTCATCCATGTTAGTCCATACTGTTTCAACTCCTCCATGTCACCCTCGTACTCACGACCCACTCGCTGCTTCCCTTTCGGCCTGGTTCCACTCGCGCAATGGCCTGAGGCGCGCGCTATGTCACCCAGCGGCGGCCTCCTCAGCGAGTGTCCAATCCATCTCAATCCACTTTTTCCTGCATATATTTGTTGTTGTTATATATATATATATACAAAAGTAGGAATACCAAAACATGAGCTAGCCGTTTTGGCAAGCTAGTAAACTAGGTGGATGTGTTTGGAAGTGAGTCGAAAATCTAACCCAGAACATCACATTTATATATTTTTAACCATATTAAAATTTTCCTAGGGCAATGGATTTGTCTGTATGTTTTCGACATGGAACTTTACACATATGTGTGGCAGTTCAAGTTGTCACACTCCCTCCTTGTAGCACACAAATCAACAGACGAAAGTAGAAGAAATGCATAATAGAGACAGTAAGCAGGGGTGTGAGACAAAGGAACAGTAGTCACGAAGAGCAAAACAGTTTCATTGGAAATCATAAGTCACAAGGAGTGGATGCATCTGCGCCAATGAAAACGGTTTTGAGCTTTATCACCAACAGTTTCCAGCCATTTGTTTTTACCGTCCCGAGGACCCCAACCAGGAAACCAGTCTACACCTTCCTACGTGGTTGGCTTAAATTCACTGCTGTAGATTTCATTGACTGATGTAGCCTTGTTTATTGTTTGACCTCCGCTAACTCTTTCCAGCCTGACCCTATGTCAGCTAACATTGCCCGTCGACGAAGGCGATGACTAGGCTGTCATGCGTAACACATGTCCTAACCATCTCAGTCTTTGTAACTTCACAGCCTCGTCGATTGATTTCCCCTCCCTACCTAGAACTCGACCGATGCCTAACCTCAATATTGCTCACCTTATTATGTCACTTCACACGGGAAATAAAACGCAGGAACCTATGATCAAAGCCAACTAATCTTTTCGTGTCTTCCACTCTCAATGATCAGGTCTCGCAGCCATAAAGGACGACGGAGTGGACTGATGAACAGTACACCCGCCCTTTGGTCGGTAGTCGGATATCACGTCTACGCCAGAGACGGCATAAACTGACATATGCGAAACTAGCCCCCTGTATCCGTACTCAGCTGAGATTTCGTTGGCGATCAACCCGTTGGCACTGGCTGATGGTACTTCCTAAATAAGTGAAGTGGTCAACTTGCTTGTTATGTACTCGTCGAGTGGTTAATAGTCCTGACGCGGAAAGAGGGAAATCAGAAGACCACCAGGTTTACGATGATACTTGTATTTTCCAGACAAGGAAAATAAATGTCATACAACGTGTGAGTGAAATGGTACGTAGTGTACGAAAAGTGAGAACAAGAATATATGCACAAGTGTCTAATACAAAAGTATATATAAAAATGGTTAATATACATGAACCAATAAGTAGACAGTCTTAACATGATTGGTTGTAATGTCATATGACAACAAGGTCATACATTGTGTATTTAGTTAGTGGACAGACAAAAGCATATCGTCAGTTATAATGGAAAATCGATCCATATACACATAGCAAAATATAACATTCTGTCAAAAACAAAATACACATCATGTGGGTGCATATCAGTGCTCTACCACTTCACTTCCTATTCCTAAACTAGGAGGCAGTGTAGTCCATTCCTGTAACACCATCTCACATTTGGCGGGAGCGAATCGCATGCCAAACACTCGTAGATTGTAGCTCAAGGTGTTCAGAAGACTCTGCATTTTGTCAGCGTCCTGGACAACAGATATACAGGCGATTCGGCTAGGTCCATGGGAGATAAATATTCTGATTGCTTGCCTTATTGGCCGAAGACCGAATTAAGAAAAAGATAATGAACTCTATAGTCACCGTTTTAATGTATTGATTACTGTTTTATCCACCTCCCATCTCCTCTCCCAGTAAAAGTTGTACGAATTCGTTCTTGGATCTATTTTGGAGAAAGGCTTTTGTCTCTCTCTCTCTCTCTTTATCGAACTGACTTTCGAGTGGTATCGGATAGGGTCTTGGCTGTGAAAGATTATATGTATCTAACGTGGGTTTTTTTCCCTGTTGTCCGGTCTCTGTGAGGGATCTTGCATATGATTCATCTGGTCATTTGGAAAATGCATCCACACATATAAAGAAGTGCATACCGTTAGGTGGTCCAGCAAAATTGACATGAACACGAGACTATGGTTCATCAGATAGCGACCAAGAACATAATTCTATCTTGCGCGGACATTTTGATGCTTGGGTACATTGTTTTGGTGAAATTACAACTAGTGCTACTACTCAAACACTTGTGTGGTCGAATCTATGTGCCTTCAGTGTCTAATAGCTATATTTCAAGGTCAGTAAAGTGGGGATTTGCGTCGGTGGCATAGCGGTTAGGACGCTCGCCGACCATTCACATGGTCCGGATATCGATCCCCGGCCATCGACGCACTCCTTTACCTCGCTAAGTCAAAAATAATGCTGGTAAAGAGGAAAGGTTAGGCATAAGGCTAGCAACCCTTTCCTGTAAAATAAACACTGTTATAGAAACTTCAAGCCAGCAGCTTGAAGTTTCTGTGTTCCACTGGGAACTTGAAGAAAAAAAAGTGGGGATACCACATAGTTTCACAGTACACTTTAGCGAGCACCTTTTTGGGCGAAATAGGTAATACTTACTTTACTTTACTTCGGCTATTTCCTGCGGGAGGATGAGCCGGCTTCATGAACATCTCGAATCATCGCTGACAAGGCGCGGCCATCTCATGAAAGGTTTTCCCACAGCCTTATCCAATTCTTGTTCTACAGACCGAGTCCGTAGACGGTTTGTAGACCCAGCCCAGTCACTCCATATCAGCCTTGACTGACTGTACCAAGCCATGTGTTTTCAGCTGTCCACCCCTCCGACATATCTCCAAGATGGAAATGGCGAGGAGGGATTTAGAACTGATTTCATTGGCCAGATCGTCATCTGGTCGGCTCGGCCCAGAACATGGCCAAACCACCGAAGGCCACGTTGTTCGACCAGTACTGGTTGATGTTGGTTGATGCTGTAGCAACGACGACAGTTGATGAAGTTTCATGGGAATTAGGTACGAGTGATGTGTCCCCAGAATCGCTCGGCCTTTTGTTTTGTTTGAGAGTTCAGCTCTAGCCTTTACACAACCAACCAAGTGTGACCTCCTAGAAGGCAGTAGGAGTGGAGTAGCGTAGGGAGGAGTCGACTATCCATTGTCAGCCAGCCGTTGACCGGAGTCCGGTTGATACGCCTTTTTCAATGGAGCCAGACATGCACCAGGGAATCCAATAAGCCCTTTGTCCATACGTCTGACGGTGAGCTCTGGTGAGCTTCATACGCCAGTCGTCGGAGGTTTGGAATCAGGCAGGGTTTAGCCATTTCCCCTAGACTGTCATCCAATGGACAGTCAACCCGGTGAAGAGCGCCGGTCATCCGCTTTTCCCCTCTCACTTCGGTGAATAAAAAACACCTCCGCCACGTGAAGGCAGTGAGTAGAACTTCCTCAGGAGAGGCTATGTAAGACGCCCTGTCATATGGGAACATTTCAAGAGGTGTACGGAGGGGTGTCCAACGCGCAGCGCAAGGCACCCTCCCCCGACCATCCTGAGGCTTTGGAGGCCATAGGTAATGTTAGCTTAGATTTCATCCAATGGGGTTAATCCAAGCAAGCTTATGCATTTCATACTGTTCTTAAAAATCATCAACACGGTGGTTCACTTTATTTCTTGGTCATTGAGAGTATTTCATTTACACTCTCTCAGTCATACATAGTAAAATTCCGGATATCTCTTATTATGTTTAAATTTATTAATGTGAATATCTTGGATTATTTAGATGGTTAGAGGGGCAGTCAACAGGAAGACGTACCTAACCTAGGTTTTTTGTTCTTATTGGCTTTCATCATCAGTCACTTAGGCTTGCATGAAATAGTGAAGGAACTCATCCCTTCCTTCTGAGATTCGAATCCGTGTGTCACCACTACGCAGTGTGGTGCAGTCAGTGACGTTACCACTGAGCTATTTGGGCCCGCGATTAACCTGTATGACTGTCATCGATAGTAGTGTCATCCTCTTAGTCCTTTCATCATTTCGTTACAGACTGAGTTTCTTTCAGTCAAGTTTGCAGTTTCAGGTAGGTAGTTACCTGGGTTCCAGTGGGACGTCGTGACCAGTAGGGTGCAGCAGGTCGGGTGTGAGGACAAATACTCGCCAGCGAAGACATTGGCTAGCGGTCGCACTATGTCGTGTGTGAATTGGCAGAAGTTAGAATTCAAGGACCATTGGATCGGGTCCCAGTGAGTGGCTTAATGGTATACGAGCTCGCTGGCCTTGTAACCTGAAGGTCCTGGGTTCGAACCCCGTGGTGTGGGTGCGTACTGCTGAAGAATTAGTCCCAAACTAGGCTGACGAAACAGCTGTCCAGTACTCCCAGGTTTTCCAATAGTTCTCTAACTAATGTCAGCTCATGATGAAATCCTGAAACCAATCAAATCCCTACAAACCAACACTTAAAAAGTTTGCAATGTGTTCAGCATACTCTAGTTGGCCCGCCCTGTCACTGTGCTCTGAGGATTGAGGTTAATCATTAGGCAAGCCTTGAACACATTAGGTTTGCGTGCCATTGGTTCGAATCTCAAAAGAGAATATAAATTCCTTCAAGATTGCAGAGACGCCTTTGATGATGATGATGACTGGTAAATGAAAAAAATAACACGAAGCCTAGGTCCAAGGCTTCCTACTTGATTGACTCCAACAATAATTCAGGTTGCACCTACCTAGCACCTAGCATTCTGGTCGTATTGTAAACCTGACTAATTAGAATACAGTCAGTCTGTAGCGAAATCAAAGGACTAGACTACATGACACTTTCTAGTGGTCCAATCAAAGCCAGATTTGAATTTCACTGTTTCCATGATACTTTCGAAAGTGCATATATAAACAAAACAAACCAAATTACCTGATTGCTGTTGAATGGAAAAAGAAAGTAAAGACTGAATTGGACTATTCTAAGGTTATTATTAGCCAAATATTGGGATTTTCCATATATATATATGTTGTAATTTTTGTTTTCGTTCTTAGAGTTCCGTATGTGGAATAAGTGAACTTCAAGCCTACTAAGCTGCCCGCTTTTGCGAGCTAGTAAACTAGGCCGATGTGTTTGGAAGTGAGTCGTTGGTCGAAAATTGAACTCAGAACTATATGCATGACTTTGGCGAACATACTGATATTGAATTACTGATACAGTGTTGTTATGGGATACCTAACCTGTCATATGCTCTGATGGTCTTCTTGTAACATATGTTGCCATATCTGCCAAGGGCGATGGGATAGTACGCGACCTAATGGTTGTGTGCAAGGTTTGAAGAAGGCTGTTTGCTATATGCATACGCCTCGCCTTGAAAATGTTTGTGCGTCGGTGTGGTACAACAGTTATGATGACTCCCGCCGATCATGCACACATGGTCCGGGATTCGATCCTCTGCCGATGCACACCTGATATCCTATGGTCGGTCTGCAAAATTTACGCTACCGATATCATATGCTGAAAATTCCATACCCCTGTATCAAAAAATACGATATGGAATCAAGCTGTAATAAAAAAAATATTAGATAGATTATCAATAACTGATGTGACTGAAGCTGCTTTTAAATTGTCGGCTAGCTTAACTAACTAATTAATTGCGCCTTATACTCTATGTCTGTATTAATATTTCAGGCTACTAATCGTATTCATACAACCTTCTCCGAGCTCATTTCTGACCTTACAACTGGGATAAATAATGAAGTTGAAGTTGTACGGTAAGTAAACGTTTTCAGTACCCATCTAATGTTGTTTAACTAAGATGGTTGATAATTCATCTTCATTTCGCGAAATATTCTTGTTACAGTAATTAATTTTTAAAGATACTACTTATTATTAATACCTCAAGCAAATTGTACTTCACTTTATTTACACTTCACTTGACCGCCAATTTGATACCAGTTAGAGAACCATTGAAAACCAACTAGAGAGTACTTGACACCTGTTTCTGTTCTAGTTTAAGATTGAGTGATACGGGCACCCACTGGAGTTCGATATTACGGACAACATCCTGGAAGGTGTTACAATCATTAGAACATTAACATTTGAGATTCGCTCCGACCAAATGCAAGATGATATTACAAGACTGGACTACAGCGACTCCTAGATTTGAAATATGAAGTGAAGTGGTAGAGCACGTCGAACGTTTCACTTATTTGGGAAGTACCATCAGCCAGTGCCAACGGGTTGATCGCCGACGAAATCTCAGCTGAGTACGGATGCAGGGGGCTCGTTTCGTATTTGACAGTTTACGTCGACTCTGGCGGAGACGAGATGTTCGACTATCGACCAAAAGGCGGGTGTACTGTTCATCAGTCCACTCCGTCGTCCTTTATGGCTGCGAGACCTGATCATTGAGAGTGGAAGACACGAAAAGATTAGTTGTCTTTGATCACAGGTTCCTGCGTTCTATCTCCCGTGTGAGGTGGTATAATAAGGTGAGAAATATTGAGGTTAGGCATCGGTCGAGTTCTAGGTAAGGAGGGGAAATCAATCGACGAGGCTGTGACGTTACAAAGACTGAGATGATTAGGACATGTGTTACGCATGGCAGCCTAGTCATCGCCTTCCTCGACGAGCGATGTTAGGTGACATAGGGTCAGGCTGGAAAAGAGTGTTTGAAATGTGCACATGAAGTGTTACCCTAAGGCGGCGGTGTCACTCTCAATATAAGCCATCTTTAAGAAAATAAAATGCCCTGAAACAACATGATTTTTCTGATTGAATGCAGTACACTATATGTCTGATTTTTTTTTAAGTATTGGTTTTGTAGGGATTTTGTTTGGTTGTATGGATGATTTCACCATGAGCTGACATCAGTTAGAGAACCACTGGAAAACCTGAGAATACTGGACAGCTGTTTCGTCAGCCTAGTTTGGGACTAATTCTTCAGCAGTACGCACCCACCGCCACGGGGTTCGAACCCAGGACCTTCAGGTTACAAGGCGAGCTAGCTCGTAGACCATTAAGCCACTCACTGGGACCCGATCCAATGGTCCTTGAATTCTAACATCTGCCAGTTCACGACACTGCGCGACAACAAAATCCCTACAAAACCAACACTTGAAAATTAATCTGATGCTCACTAGTAGCGACTGTTCCTATTGAGGCAGTTAACCTGGGGTTCTAGTGAGAAGCCGTGACCAGTAGGGTACAGCAGGTTGAAGATGAGGCAGTAACTCACTCATCGAAGAAGACATTGCGAAGTGGTCGCGCTATGTCGTGTGTGAATTGGCAGAAGTTAGAATTCAAGGACCATTGGATCGGGTCCCAGTGACTGGTGAAATGGTCTACGAGCTAGCTCGCCTTGTAACCTGAAGGTCCTGGGTTCGAACCCCGTGGCGGTGGGTGCGTACTGCTGAAGAATTAGTCCCAAACTAGGCTGACGAAACAGTTGTCCAGTACTCCATGCAGGTTTTTTTTCTGTGATATTTCAACTTTATTCGCTCTGATGTATAAAATGTTGTCTTTGCGAATTATTTTTACAGTTCACTCTACAGATGGACTACAGGCAAAGATACAAGATTTGAAGATTATGATCAAGAAGCGCCATCAGATTCATTGATTGGAATGCTTAGACAAATGAAATATAATCAGTTATCGCGGAATGAAATCTTTTATGAACTCTGTCGGTGAGTAGTAATCGGTTATTTTGGGTGTATGTGAAAGTGTGAAAATCGTAAAAGATGATATTTGTTTCAAGGGATTGAATGAATTCACTGTTATATGGGGAGGGTCAAGTTTTTACTTTAAAGGCGTTATTTTGAAATATACTGTTTAGTAGACATCTTTTGACATACTACTACTACTACTACTCCTTTTGCGTCATCAATGGAACATAGGGCGGCTTTAAATGTAAGCTCTGAAGTTTCAGCAGTACTGGTGTCTATTTATTTTTTGCGGGGATGGTATTAACTAGCCTCATTTCTCCACGCTTCTATCTTTACCGGTTTTATTACCCTCCCCTCCACCCCACCCCACCCCACTTCCTTGGCTAAACGACGAGGTTTAGGAGTGTGTTGGCCGGGGATCAAACCTCGGATCCACGTGCGCGCATAGTTGGCGGGGGTATTCTCTACCATTGATGCGAGACTGATGGCTAAGGGAGTGGAAACTCTATAAGCTCGAAGGGAAACACACAGAACTGTGTCACTATGGTCGTGTTTTTTGTTGCTGATGGACTGTTTTTTTATTTCTTGATTACAGCTTGATTCCACACTGTATTTTTGGTACAAGTATGGAATTTTCAGCATGGATATCGGTAGCCAAAATTTTGCAGGTCGACTATAGGTATCATGTGTGCGTCAGTGGCAGGGGATCGAACCCCGGACCATGTGAGGCATGGTCGGCGAGAGTTCAAACCACTGTGCCACCGACGCAGTGGCACACATTCGACGGATTTCGAATATCCTGAGCGTTGATGCGCTTCTAACGCATTTCCATCTCCACTTCGACATTCGACATTATAAAGCAGTTGTTAATTTGACGTCTCTATGACGGATGACTCACCTCCGCCGCATTGTGAACTGTCAATAGTCTACTTCACAATATTTTACAAACCTAGATAAATTTTTTCTGTTGACTTGCATTTCATTATTATTCTCATTAATTGACTTAGTCAAAAATCTTATGGTTCCATTTTTGAGCAACATTAGAAACAACCAAAAAGGTGTTTTTCTTCAGTGTATCTGATAGTTTTTCAGAACCATTATTGTTCTTACTTATGCGTATTGTGTAACTTCTGAATGACAAATGTGAAACCTGTGTGCTTCCTATGCTTCCCCACCCCAAATCCCTTTAAATAATTGCATAGAGTTTCTTCGTAATGATTAATGACATCTATTTTTGAGATTATGTGTTCACTGCATAATTAGAAAGTTGAAATGTGGAAAAACAAGTCGATCGTTATCGGATTAATTTTCAATTCCCTTTCCCTTGATTGTGTGTGTTTTTTTTTATATTACCAAAATATCAGTTACTAGGAGACAGCATATCACCAGATAGTTAGCATTTTGGTCCAACTTATTCAGTCAGCAAATGATACCTGATAACTGTTGCACAATAGGTAACTGTCGGGAACCAGTGGTCTCTAGTGGATAACGCCTGCCTTTAACGTTTGAAATCATAGGTATTGGGTCTGAGTGAGTCTTAGTGGGAACACACTATCAACTTAATGGAGCGCTGCATGTACGTACACTCATCCAGCTGACATGCTTTCATTCTAGATATTTCACAGCTTGTCGATAATAATCTTAAATAGAACCACTTGTTTGTTAATTGCACTAGTTTTGTCGCCTGAAAATCAGTATCCCGTACTCCCTGGTCTTGAAATAACACAAAATCCTTACAAACTAACACTTGAAAATCAAACACTGAATGTTGCTAGTGTCTGGCTACAAGACGAAGTTTACCTGGAGGAGGGGAGTTCTAGGGAGGAGTGCATTCATCATTCGGTCGGTTGGTCGGTCGGGAGGCAGGACAAATCACTTGCCATCGATGACACTGGCTGGTGGTGCCAGTCCCGTTAAAATCATCATGAATATTGGTAGATGTAAGAATCCATGGGCGGCTGGTCATTGAATGAAGTCTGAGTGACTTGATGATATACAATTTAATAATAATAATATTAACAGCTTTATTCCAAACAGTATTTTTGATTTTGTTTTGATTTTTGATTTACAGCTTGATTCCACACTGTATTTACGGTACAAGTATGGAATTTCCAGCATGGATATCGGAAGCTTAAATTTTGCAGGCCGACCATAGATATCAGGTGTGCGTCGGTGCGGGCTCGAACCCCGGACCATGTGAGGCATGGTCGGCGAGAGTCCTAACCACTGTGCCACAGACGCACAGATATGGAATTTCCAGCGTGCTTTACAATATATTGCATCTAATTACCTCATAAATATTTTATAAGACTTTTAAAATCAAAAAATAAATAAATACATAAATGAAAAAAAACCAACGCCAAAAAAATAAAAGATAAATAAAAATTTAAAAAAACAAACAGCGTAGAGTTTACATTTCAAACAATGCACCACAGGATATGAAGTATAAAATTGGTGTGTAATAGAAGATAAGAACAACAGTGTAATATTAATGAGGAAAGGAAAGCCAAAACTAATGGGACTATTTGTTGGAGTGCCGCAGTAAGTTGATCGTGTCATACCTAACGGATTTCTCATCACGCACATAACAGCTGTGCGAGGATATGGTATTGTGGAGTTTTTGTACTTGGTAGTCCTAGCATATAGCCAGCCAGCCAGCCTCGTATAGCTGCTCCTAGTTCTACCAGATGAAATGCAAGGAAACAGCTGCGTATAGAAAGGATCCTCGGGGTCTGACAATATTGTATTCGCTAGTTTCCTACAGGACATTATATGTCTATCCACAATAGTGTTAACCAATTAGTTGGTTTAACGATATCCCACTTGTCCTCCCTACTAACGGCTTTTACTGCCTGCCCTTCTCAGCAAAGTAAAGTCTTTCTTAAGTAGTCCAGGAAAGATTAATGGGGAGCAGTAAAAGGGATGGGTAGAATAGAAGAATTTACAAACTGAGAAACCAAAGACTGCTTTATGCCAGACTGCCTTGTGACCCAAAGGCCTGTGGGTTCGAACCCTACATGTGGGTGCGTATTTTAATCAGTGATTCCCTACCTAGGACTCCTTGTTTATTTTCACTGGTTCTCTAATTGATGCCATTCCCTTGATCAAACTTGAAACAATTAGGTGTTTTTAGTCACTTGAAACCAGTATCCAAATATTGCTGTCTCCCCCTTCAATCCAATCATTATCCAGGTTATAATTTCCTTTACAATTGGTAAATTATCAATTTAAACACGCGTTATTATAATTATCACACTTGTGACATTTCCCTGCGCTTTCAGTTTTCCTTCTATTTAAGACTAGTTTGTGTTTGAAAAAAATAAAATCCATACTAATGTCGTCTGGTATTTAGTGAACCTCTTCTCTTCTCTTATATATATACACTTACTTTTTACTTTACTTCGGCTATTTCCTGCGGGAGGATGAGCCGGCTTCATGAACATCTCGAATCATCGCTGACAAGGCGCGGCCATCTCATGAAAGGTTTTCCCACAGCCTTATCCAATTCTTGTTCCACAGACCGAGTCCGTAGACGGTTTGTAGACCCAGCCCAGTCACTCCATATCAGCCTTGACTGACTGTACCAAGCCATGTGTTTTCAGCTGTCCAGCCCTGCGACATATCTCCAAGATGGAAATGGCGAGGAGGGATTTAGAACTGATTTCATTGACCACATCGTCATCTGGTCGGCTCGGCCCAGAACATGGCCAAACCACCGAAGGCCACGTTGTTCGACCAGTACTGGTTGATGTTGGTTGATGCTGTAGCAACGACGACAGTTGATGAAGTTTCATGGGAATTAGGTAGGAGTGATGTGTCCCCAGAATCGCTCGGCCTTTTGTTTTGTTTGAGAGTTCAGCTCTGGCCTTTACACAACCAACCAAGTGTGACCTCCTAGAAGGCAGTAGGAGTGGAGTAGCGTAGGGAGTCGACTATCCATTGTCAGCCAGCCGTTGACCGGAGTCCGGTTCATACGCCTTTTTGAATGAGGCCAGACATGCACCAGGGAATCCAATAAGCCCTTTGTCAGCGCCGGGGACACCCCCTCCCGACTATCCTGATTCTTTGGAGGCTATATATTTATATATAATAACAATCTAACGCATACACCCATACAGTGTTATTCCCAGCGTATCTTTAGCCTTATCAGTAAATAATATTTGATTAAAGTGTGTGTGTGTGTCTAAAGCAACAGGTTCAGAGTTCTCTTACCAGGTAATCGAGAATTGATCGTCCATCCCCACTTCTCTACTGAAATTGCTATTCCCCCGCTGATGCTGAATTTTACTCTAAGATTTTGTGTGTGTGTGTTCAGTGAAGTGTTTCTTCAGGAGTGAAGAAAGTAGCCTATTTGTAGCCTCTATTAATTCTCCTCTCCCCCTGCCCTTTTATTTTCGCTGATATAATTAAAGGCGCTTGAAAGAGAAAGGTGTAAAAGAAATTCCAATTAGTTGGCTAGTTAGTTAGTTAGTTAATTGACTTTTTTGTGTATTTTTCTGTCAGCCAACTTCACATCATTACTTGAGTAAATTTTGTACAAATAATGAAATTGTTTGTTGTTGTTGTTAGTTAGTTAGTTAGTTAGTTATTTAACGTAACAGTGTATACATGTGTATACAATCAAAGTATAGAGATGACAATTATTTAGTTATGTATATACTCATTACAGCCTTGATTTATGCGCTCTATTCGATTTATTTTCATGCTCACTGTGTATGAAGCGAAAGCGAACAGTTACAGGGTTTTAATATCATGAGCTGATATCGGTGCGCAATGCACCCCCCCCCACACACACACTGGGGTTCGAACCGAGTACCTTGCAGTTGACAAGGTGAGCGAGCTTGTAGACCAATAAGCCACTGGGATAGGATTCGATCCAAAGGCTTAACAAATCCCGGTGGACGAAACATCTGTCTGGCAGTACTCTCATCTGGACCATCCCAGATGAGAGAGCTCATGCATGATGAGATTGTGTGACCAATCGAATCCCTGTAAATTATCACTTGAAAATAGACAGTGGT